ATATATGATATTTTGTATCAGTGTAAATATTTGGTTCTCAGAATTTGATAATTCTCAGGCCGCTAAAATTATACTCCAAAGTTCGGTATTACGGGTCTAGGCCGAGCACACGCCCTCTTGAGCGATGCCGTAGGGAACGGTTAAGCTAGACCCAACTTCCATTCACACAGACTGCTACGCTTAACACCACCATCCTGACGGCGACAACGTTCGGATCACAATATATATATATATAAATATATATATATATATATATATATATCTATATCTATATAGATATATATATATAGATATAGATATATAGATAGATAGATATATATAGTAGAACAATGTGTCACACGGTTGCTGAAATGCTCGGAATCATACTCGTGTATCCTCATATCCTCATACCACGAGACACCCTAAGTAATGTCTCATCCATCAGAACTTTATTGTTAACCGGTCAAGCCCCAATCCTGTGCGATTCTGCCACAGACAAGGCTGGCACATAGGTCGCCATCTTTGACCAAGCAAGGTCCAGTGCCGCGTATCTATACATACACATACAAATGCCAGAGTACGAGTAAATTTTGTACCCGCACGTATATATAATACAGGTATACGTGTATGTGCCTATAGGTATTCACTGTATAAAAGGGTACCGTATGTACTACTTATTTAGTGTCTCCAATAGATTGTAATCCATTCTTGGGTTCGCACAAATCAAATCAGTCTGAAGAGCAAATTCGACGGCAGTACTTTGTCAAACCCTTCATCTAGATTTGGATGGCGTTTGCGATCTAGATCTCGATTTCGACCTGGAGTTGGATCTCCTCAAAGATATGGATCTAGATCTAGATCTCGTTCTGCGTCGCCTGCTACAGTCTCGGGTCTGTCCTCTCCCCATACTCCTACTCCTGCTTCTACTACGACTTGAGGTCAATGAGCGTGAACGGCGGCTACGTTTTTCAATGCGCGTACGGTTTCTTCTACTAGTTTTACGGTTTCTGTATCCACGGCTTCTGCTCCGGCTCCTTCGGTTACTATGGTAACGGTCGCTACTCCGGCTTCGACTTCGACTAAGGCTACGGCTACGACTACTTCGAGAGTAGCTCCGACTGCGGGAGGATCTGAGTAAAGCAAGCGGATATGATATCAATATATCAATATGTCAATATATCAATACACACACACACACGCACACACATACAC